GAGCAAGAGGGGCGGGGTGGGGCGGGGCGTTGGGGGCGATGTTGGAGCAAATCCTCGGCCGGGCCCAGCGGCTCGCGCTTTCCAAGAACCGCCCGCGGCCGCCGCCAACTGCTTGGCGCTGACCCGCTGGCGCGGCCGCCGCCGTCACCCTGGGCCCGAGGCCGGCGCGGAAAACGGGGAGGGACGGGACCCAGGCCTGTGTGGCTCGGAACCTCCTGCTCCTCTGCCCCATTCCCTGCCCCCGCCCCGCGGGACGCCGGTGCCGGGTCTGGGTTCCAGGTCCAGAGCCGCTCGCGCCCGGACGCCGGCCGCCCCGTCGAGCCTTCGGGCCGCTGTGCACCCGCTCCCCGCCCGCGCCCCAGTCAGGACGGTCCAGACCTCCAAGCCCCGCGCCTGGCTCGGCTTCCTGTTCCCCTCCCGTCTCCCTCTCCCCTTTGCTGGGGCCTTAGCGTGTGTGGGGGGGGGAGATTCAGGAAGCGCACACTCTCCACCTCCCGTGCTGCCCCCCACGGGGGTTCCCGAGCCAGGGCCCGCCCCTTCCTGGCCCTCCGGGAGACCCCGCAGCCTGGCACCCTCTGCGGCCCTTCCCCACCCACGCACCCCCCTCCGCCCCCCTCCGCCGCCCCGTACTCACTGCCACGTCCCCATCCTGCCGTCCCCTCCCATCTCCCAGGGACGCTGTCAGGCGGGCGGCGCGTCCCGTGCGGCCCCGCTCAGTCGCCTGGGCTGGGTTGGAGGCTCCGCTCATGTGGGGCTCAGGGGACTGTTGGGGATTCCGTTTGGGAAAAAGCCACCAGGCCATTCAGTGCCCAGCCGGCTTGGGGACCCCCACTCGCTGCCCTTTCGGAAGCGGGACCTTTGGCGCTGCCCTTCCCTGGCTGCGTGGGGCCCTCTTCGCCCCCCACTCCCAGGACCACGCCCAGCAGCCCATGTCCAGGCCTCTGCCCCTGGCCACGGGACCCAGGTCCCCATGCCCCCGGCTAGAGGCAGCAGGCAGCTCGGCCAGCGGACGGGCCAGCTGGTTCCTTTCAGGGGCAGCCTTGCCCCCTCTCCCGCCCCATCTCCCCCCCATCTCCCCCCCCACGGGGCTGTAACCCGAGCCGCCCAGCCGCCGCTTCCCCTCCGGATCCTCCCCGGCGGCTCTGCGGCCCCGGGCCCCCGCGCGGTGCTGCCCCATGCAGCCCTGAGCCCCACAGCAAGTCCACCATGGGCCGCGGGGGCCGTGTCCCCTCGGAGAACACGGGGGCCGGCGTCGAGAGCCGCTGGCTCGGAGCCGTGCTGGTCGCCATGTGCCTCCTCCCCGCGCTGGTGCTGCTGGCCCGGCTGGGCGCCCCGGCGGTGCCGGCCGGGAGCGCAGCGCAGGTGAGCGGCCCGGGGAGGCCAGGTATTGGGTTGGGGTCTGCCGTCTATGGGTCTGCTCTGTCTAGGGGCCTCCAGGACGTGTGCGGGGTCTGTGGGGTGTTTGAGGGTCCGGATGTGCGTCCCGAGGTCGGAGGGCCCCTGCCAGTTGTTGGGAGGGGTGGGAGGCCGCGCCCTCCTGTTCAGCCCCTTCCACTCCACTGGGCCGCGTTCCCAGGGACGGGCAACGGGAGCTCGGGATAGGAGACCCCAAATCGCAGGCAGACAGGACTCGCCACGCCCGCTCCTAGCCCTGGGCACCCCCACCCCCGTTTCTTTCCAGTCCGTTTTCCGGGGCAGTTTTTGGCCCTGGGGACCGTCACTGATGCCTCCCACTCACGCTTTCTTCCCTGAAGGGAGACGCCGCTGCTCAGGGCCTCTCGGGGGTCCCCCCAACCCGCGTCCCGGGCTCACTGCCCCCCCGCAGACGCCGCTACACGCTGACCCCAGCCAGGCTGCGCTGGGACCACTTCAATCTCACCTACAGGTGCGCCGTGGCTTGGCCCTGGGGGAGGGGCGCGGCCGGCCCCCCACTGAGCCCACGTTCCCGGCAGGATCCTCTCCTTCCCGCGGAACCTGCTGAGCCCGCGGGAGACCCGGCGGGCCCTGGCTGCCGCCTTCCGCATGTGGAGCGACGTGTCTCCCTTCAGCTTTCGCGAGGTGGCCCCCGAGCAGCCCAGCGACCTCCGGATAGGTGGGCGCCCGCCCCCAGCCCGGCCCGGGTGTGCGCGCCCGGCCTCTCAGCCCGGTGCTCCCCGCAGGTTTCTACCCAATCAACCACACGGACTGCCTGGTCTCCACGCTGCACCACTGCTTCGACGGCCCCACTGGGGAGCTGGCCCACGCCTTCTTCCCCCCGCACGGCGGCATCCACTTCGACGACAGCGAGTACTGGGTCCTGGGCCCCACGCGCTACAGCTGGAAGAAAGGTGACCCTCCAGGCTGGCCTCCGGGGGCCTCTCCCCGTACACGGGGGGCTGCAGCGGGCAGGCAGGCTTTGGGGCAGGCGGCAGGAGGGACTTTCCGGGGTGGTGGCTGCTACTGGAGTCAAGCAGGCAAGGAGGAGAGCCCGTGGGAGCCCCTAGTCCCGGCAGCCCTGAACTCCCCTTCCCATCCCCCTGCGCCGCTGGAGCGGTAGCTGGAGCTGCATTCCTGGGGGCCGAGCTCACCGCCTGGGCCCAGAACATTCTTATCTTTCCGTGGCTGCGGCCGAGGGCGGCCCCGCGGCTGCGCTCCAGCAGATGTGCCGGGCCTCGGGGAGCTGGCCCACGGGCGGCGGGGCTGGGCTCGGGGCTCGCAGGCGCTGACCGGCGGGGGCCTGCAGGCGTGTGGCTCACTGACCTGGTGCACGTGGCGGCCCACGAGATCGGCCACGCGCTGGGCCTGATGCACTCACAGCACGGCAGGGCGCTCATGCACCTGAACGCCACGCTGCGCGGCTGGAAGGCGCTGTCCCAGGACGAGCTGTGGGGGCTGCACCGGCTCTATGGTGAGTCCTTTGTCGGGCGGGAGGGGTGGCCAGGCGGCCCTGAGCCAGGCCGAGCTCCCCGCGCTCCCGGCAGGATGCCTGGACCGGCTGTTCGTGTGCACGTCCTGGGCGCGGAGGGGCTTCTGCGACGCCCGCCGGCGGCTCATGAAGAGGCTCTGCCCCAGCAGCTGCGACTTCTGCTACGGTGATGCCCGAGGCCGGGACAGGGCTGCGTGGTTTTGGCCATGGTCTGGGCTGGGGGGACACTGACGGGGCTCTTCCCCCCAACCCGAGCAGAATTTCCCTTCCCCACGGTGGCCGCCACCCCACCGCCCCCCAGGACCAAAACCAGGCTGGTGCCTGAGGGCAGGAACGTGACCTTCCGCTGTGGCCAGAAGATTCTCCACAAGAAGGGGAAAGTGTAGTAAGTGGGGAGCCTGGTGGTCCTTGGGGTGGGCGCCCAGGCAGCAGCGGGGGCTGAGCCTACAGGAGATCCCCCCCACAGCTGGTACAAGGACCAGGAGCCACTGGAGTTCTCCTACCCCGGCTACCTGGCCCTGGGCGAGGCGCACCTGAGCATCATCGCCAACGCTGTCAACGAGGGCACCTACACCTGTGTGGTGCGCAGGCAGCAGCGCATGCTGAGCACCTACTCCTGGCGAGTCCGGGTGCGGGGCTGAGCCCACGTAGAGCACGGCTGATAAAGCACTTTCTCCCTGATGTCTCCTGCTCTTTCTTGGGAGGGTGGTGGCAGCCTGGGCAGGTGGACACACCCTGGCCCCTGACCCTCCGGAGGTGGGCGTCCTCAGGACCAGGGACCCCCTGCTTCCCCCCATAGCAGACAACAGGTACAGCCCAGGATGGCATGGGCTTTGCCAAGGTGGCTCCTGGGAAGGTGGGACGAGTGAAGCCCCAGTGCCAGGGGCAGCTCATGGGGTAGCCCAGGAAGCCTGGGGTCTCTGTCTAGGACTTGCTCAGAGATGGGGGAGGGAGGCGATGGGGGCTTCCTGAAGGTGGTGGGATGGGCCTCCGGGGTCCTCTGCAAGTGGGTATGGCTGGGGGCTGGAAGGACTGGCACAGGCTGCCAGGGCAAGTAGGGGCCAGGGGACCACCTTGCTACAGTGGAGGCCCTGGGAGGTAGGAGCACCCATCCTGCCCGGGGAAGAGACTGGCGCAGCCTGTCGTGTCCCGCTAGAGCCCGGGGGGCCTGTGACTCCGAAGACTCCACAACTGACCCTGTCCCCACCAGCCCCTCCAAAACCACTGCCCAGCAAGCTCCACGTGTGTCAAGAATGGGAGACGGTGTGGGGGGGAGCCTCAGACGCACCCCTTCTCCTCCCTGGGTGCAAGTCAAGTAGACCCGAAAACACGGCTCTTTCCTGCACAAGGAAGATGATGTAATTCTACAAATTTACAAACCAAAATAAAACACGGAACACACAATAAGATGAAGTTCTGAGACTCATGACAACTCCAGCTGCAGAAGCTGTGCCTGTGGTCCCCGCCGAGTTCTCCCCATGACTTGGGGTCCACTCTGACCCTCAGAACTTGAGGCTGAAGCCAGGGCCCGCGGCTGAGGCCCCCTGGTTCGTGGTGGTAAGGTGGAAGCCCGTCTCCTTCAGGTCGTCGTCGCCCTGGACACGAGTCGGCTACCGTGAGAACCCTGCCCAAGCCAGCCCCCCCGTGGGCACGCCCCACCCGCCAGACCCCTCACCAGCTGGCTGTAGCCCAGGCCTCCCTCAGGGGGCCTCGGACTGGTGCCCCGCTTCACACGCTGCTGCTCACTCTTGGCGGGCCACGTGGGGAACATGGAGGGGTCGATGGGGAGGGGGGTCTCTCGGAAATACTCATGCTTCAGGCCGTCCTCGGCGCTGATCCTCCTCCCGGGGAAGTAGGTCAGAAACCTGGAGGGAGAGGGCCAGAGGCCCAGGAGGCGCTCGTGTGCCCCACTGGGTCCCCCAAAGATGGGCTGTGTGGGACGGGGCTCAGGTCATTGGGGGACAAGCACCGGACGGTTCTGGAAGGCGGCGAGCCGGCAGGTGGGCCTGGGACAGGGAAGCCAGCGCTGTGGCTCGTGGCCTCTGTGGCCGCCCGGCTACACAGGAACTCACTTGTTCATGAGGTCAAAGCCCTGGTCGGACAGCAGGGCGCCGAAGCGCTTGCGGAGGTTGTTGTAGGGGTACTCGCTGAAGGTCATCTTCTTCACTGCTGGGAGGTCGTTGTAGCCGGGCCAGATTTTCTCACTGGGGGTTCCCAGGTCCTAAAACACACAAGTTTCAACAGCCACGCCAAGTGGCCCACGGTGCCGGCACCTGTGTCCTGGCAGAGAAGACAAGCCACCAGAAGGCCTCTCAGTGGCCCCCTAGCTGCATTCCCACAGCTCCTCCACAACCCCACAGGGCGCCTGCAGCAGGGGACCCATGCCACAGAGACCGTGCTGGCCCCAGGCCCACCTTGAACACTTTGTTGATCTGGTCGATTTCCGACTTCCCAGGGAACAGTGGCTTCTGCGTCAGCAGCTCCCCGAAGATGCAGCCCACCGACCACATGTCCACGGCCGTGGAGTATTCCTAAGGGCCGAGGAGAGGCTCAGGAGGGCCAGGGCCTGCCAAGCCGGGAGGCCGTGTCGGGGGAGGGAGGCGCTCAGACACCCGGGACTCACCTTGGCACCCAGCAGCAGCTCTGGGGCACGGTACCACAGGGTCACCACCACTGGGGTGTACGCCTTCAGTGGGGATCCGTACTCCCGCGCCAGCCCGAAGTCCCCTACCTGCAAGGACAGAGGGTGGCTGTGAGCAGGCGGGGCAGGCGGCCCTGGGGCAGCGCCTGGGCGGGGCTCACCTTGAGGATGCCGGCGTGGCTGAGCAGCAGGTTGGACGTCTTGAGGTCGCGGTGCAGGATCCAGTTGTCATGCAGGTGCTTCACCCCCCGCAGCAGCTGGATCATCAGGGTCTTCACCTCCCCTGGAAGGGGACAGCCGCGCACATGTACCTGGCTGCCCCCGCCCGGGGCCCTCAGGGTGGCCCACTCACCTCGGTGCAACAGGCCTCTCGAGGCCTTCCCCGTGGACGCAGCTGGCCTGGCACACACCCTGCAGCAGTGTCGCCAAGGGGCAACCAGGACCCCGCTCCCGCCCGTGTACCCAGAGCCCCGGCATGGCTATACCTGGCAGGAAGGGCTGCTTCATGGTCTCCATCAGGCTCTTGAGGTCGTGCTCCACGTAGTTCATCACAATGTAGATTTTGTCCATGTTGCTGCCCACCACGATCTCCTGCAGGGCACGGATCTGATGGTGCTGGGCGCCACCGAGCCCCAGACACCCCCCCACCACCTGAACCCGGATGCAGACACTGGGGGGCAGTAAGGACCTCCGGTACCACCGGGAGGCGAATGCTTGCTTCTGTGTGGTCTGCTACGCGCAGGGGAGCCCCCCCAGAACAGGACGGCCCGGTCCCTCAAACAGCCTCCACCCGGGGCCGGCGCAGCGGGGCCCTGCTCACTCTAACGGTGACGATGTTGGGGTGCTGGGCCTTGAGGATGGTGTTGATCTCCCTCAGTGACGTGATCGGGAAACCCTCCTTCTCCTTCTCCATTTTCAGCCGCTTTAGAGCCACAATTTCGTCTGTGAAGAACACACAGACGGCACTGATGGGCGTTCTCAAAATCAGGACCAACAGCAGCCTCATTCAGTAGGGGCCGCAGGCCGTGCCCAAAGCACAGCATTTCACGGAGGAAGGGCTGGTTCCAGACAGGGGCAAGCAGCAGGAGAATGCCCCAGCTGGGGTCTTGGCAACACCTACGACACGCTTCTCCACTCTCCACACACCACAGACACCCACAGCCACTTGGGAGCCCCGCAGCCATGCGGCTTCGCCAACAGAGCCGGCCTCAGGTGCTGGGGAGTCCCTGGCTCACACCCCTGCTTGGGCGGGATGCTGGGAACATGAACAGGCACAAGGCAGAGAACCCTTCAGACCCGCGCCGGCAAGACCACTCCCCGGCCTTGGCTTTGGCCCTGTGGGGCAGGCCGCCTGCTATTGCCAGGGAGCAGCAGAGCCCCGGGGCCAGGCTGCAGCTCCTGGGACAGCCAGGCCCTGCCCCTTCCCCTGCCCTGGCAGGGCGAGCCGGGACCCCCCCCACCTGTTTTCTTGTCTTTTGCTCTGTAGACCACTCCATAGGTGCCCTCCTCAATCCTGTTCAGGCACTGGAACTCCTCCACGCTCCGGCAGCCCTGGGGAGGAGGCGCCTATGTGAGGTCTCAGTGGCCTTGTCAGCCGGAGAGAGGGAGGCTGGCACAGCACACCTGGCACAGGATGGGTGCAAGGCATAGCCTGGGGAAGGGCGGGGGTGGGGCCGGCAGCAGCTCAGTTCTTTCAATGTTTGTTTCAAGACCATGTGGCACTTTATTACGAAACAAAATCAGTGTGAACACAAGGCCATCTGGCCGGGTGTGAGGGCTCAGGCCCGTAATCCCAGCACTTTGGGAGGCTCAGGAGTTCAAGACCAGCCTAACCAACATGGTAAGACTGTTTTCTACAAAATGAAAAAAAAATTAGCCAAGCATGGTGGCTTGAGCCTATAGTTCCAGCTACTCAGGAGGCTAAGATGGGAGCACTGTGTGAGCCTGGGAAGTTGAAGCTGCAGTGAGCCACGATCTAGCCACTTCACCTCAGCCTGGGTGACAGAGCCAGACCCTGCCTCCAAATAAAGCCCGTCCCAAGAGTCTGTCAAACTGGGTGTGTACCTGCTTGTACCAGGAGGACACTGAGGACAGACACTACCTGCCACAGTGCAGCACGACGCCCCGCGCCACACACTTCCCCGGGTGGACTTTGGGACTGCTGACCGCGGCTGGACCTCATGTCCTCGGGTGGCCTGTGCCAGATACCTCCGCTCAAGATTACGGGCAAGGCGCTCATAGGCACAGGGCAGTAGACGGGCTACACGTGCCAGAGGGAACCTCTCCACCCACAGGCGCCAAGGAGGAGGCTGAGCCCCTGCAGGTCTCCCAGGCCGCCGAGGCCACTGGCATCCTCTCAGGCCTGTCCCTTCCAAATTGCTCCCAGCAATATCCTGCCCTTACCGATACTTGCCCAAACAAAAAGCTTATGGCCACATACATCTACGCTGATTCCCGTAGCTGCCACCAATCCCTCATTATGCCAGTAACGAGGCCTTGGTGCCCATGTAACCCACCCACGCAGGAGCCAAGAGGAGAGCACTGGTCTCCACTGCAGAGGAGGCAGCGGCAGTGACAGCAGAGTGGCTCCGGGCCCAGGCTGCCTCCCTCGGCTTCCACACCCCAGAGCAGCCCCGCGGCACCTCCCTGCCCACCCAGTGACGTCTAGCAAGAGGAAGAGGCAGGACCGGGAAGCATAGGGGGCTGGCAGCCATGCCTGATTCTCTCTGCCCAGGTGGGTCCAGCAGCACTGAGGCAACAGATGCCAATGTAGGGGCCAGGTTTTGCTCAGCCTGTGCTAAGCAGCAGACAGAGCCAGCCCCTGTGCTAACTCCGACTGCCAATGTGGATAGCAGCCCAGTGGCTTTGGGAGG